GACAAAATTTATCAAAATCTCGAAAATTATCAATCATCGTAATTAATAAATTACAAAATGTTCAGTTTTTATAGCTAAGGATTGAAAATTTAAAACAAAGGTTCTTATAAATAATTCATACTGTAACCATAAAATCCAAAAAATATATTAACACAGTTATTTTTCACAGACATTTTAAATTCAAATTTAGACGAAATTACATATTAAAAAGCCTAGAATAACTATTTTAGTTTTTGTGTTGTGATTGAATAATATTATTCGTGGGTACTTGAAACTTCTTAAGTGTATTATTATATATCTATGATAGTATCACGGTTTTTGTTGATGTATAACGCGTTATAAGTACCTAATGGATATTGTGATATGATTAATTTGGAATTTATTGTAGGTACCTACCTATAATTATAGGTCAATTTTTTGTTTAATACCATAGATATGTATATAATATGTTTTATACCTAGACTGACATACTGTCTCCACTCAGAATCGTTTTTCTTATACAATGATAATATATCGTTGAATTCAAATTTAATATCATCCATTATACAGTGACCCACTTATAACCTACTGTACAGCAGAGCGACACCCACTTGCCCACCTTTTTATATTTTTATTTATATTTTTGTGTCTGTCATCACGTTTTAGGACAGTAAAAGTGCTTGGATTTTCTTCATCAGTAGCTTTTCTGATAGGAAAGTGAATCTAGTTGGTACTTTGGGGGGTCAAAAGTATAAATTTCCCAGTAGTTTTCACAAGCGCCGGGAAAAACAACATAAAAATTAAGGAAAAACGGGAATTTTTACGCAAAATTGGTTTTCCAAAAAATCGATTTTGGTTATTGGTGTAACTCTAAAACAAATGAACGTATATACATGAAATTTTCACTGGTTGTTTATATTTGCATTTTCTATACACGATAACATTTTCAAAATATTTTGATTTATTTTGAACTGTTTAGGGACATTTTCATTTTCCATTTTTTTTTAGTTTTTTTTCTAAAAATATCAATAAAATTTTATTTATTGGTTGCGAAAGCTTGAAAATTTAATAGAAGGCTCCTAATATGTTGTTTCAAAGGCAGATGAAAAATATTAAAAATCCTTAGTCACAATTTTTTTTTATAAGCATTTAAAGTTCAAAAATTGACAAAATATGGAAAAATCACGAAAATTAGCAAATTATTTTGAGTTAAGAATTCGTAAAAATGTTCCTTTCTAAATCTAAGATTTGAAAATGAAACACAAGATTCCTTATAAGATTATCTACCTTTATCAATAAAAAAATCTCTACCGGACAGTCAAATTAAATTTTTATGAGCGTTTGAAATTCAAATTTTTACAACATTGGATTTTCACTCGATTTCTCATGTAGCGATTTCCTTATTTTGTTGTAATTAAAAAACGAATAACTGTAGATACATGAAAATTTCACTAAATGTTTATATTAGCATTTCCTATACACCATACAATTTTTAAAATATTTTGACTCTTTTTGAGCTGTTTATGGACATTTACAGCTTTCAATTTTTTTTAGTTTTTTTTTCTATAAATATCAATAAAGTTTTATCTGTTGGGCCAAAAAGTGTAAAAATTTAATACAAGGCTCCTGATATATTGTTACAATATCAGTTGAAAAATATTAAAAATACATAGGCACGATTTTTTTTTATAAGCATTTAAAGTTGGAATTTTGACAAAATTGATCAAAATCTCGAAAATTATCAATCGTTGGAATTAAAAAATTATAAAATGTTCAGTTTTTATAACTAAGAGTTGAAAATTTAAAACAAAGATTCTCTTAAATAATTCATACTGTAACCAAAAAATCTAAAAAATATATAAACACACTTATTTTTTACAGACATTTTAATTTCAAATTTAGACAAAATTTCATATTTAAACCAAGAATTACGATTTTAGTTATTTTGTTGTGATTGAATAATACTATTCGTGGGTACTTGAAACTTCTAAAGTGTACTATTATATATCTATGATAGTATCACGGTTTTTGTTGATGTATAACGCGTTATAAGTATCTAATGGATATTGTGATATGATTAATTTGGAATTTATTATAGGTACCTATTATAGGTCAATTTTTGTTTAATACCATAGATATGTATATAATATGCCTTATACATAGACTGACATACCATCACCGCTCAGAATCGTTTTTCTTATACAATGATATTATATCATTGAATTCAAATTTAATACCATCCATTATACAGTGACCCACTTGTAACCTACTGTACAGCAGAGCGACACCCACTTGCCCACCTTTTTTTAAATATTATTTTGTAATAATAAATTTGTATCAACTATTTGAGTCAATTTGAGTAATTTGACTATATTAACGTTCAAGCGTTCTACACCATACATATTATTATTTACAATTCTTGTATGGTTTATATAACCGTCCATGTCATATCCGCCAGTGTAATACGTTATTTTATGATTTATTCCGCAGTAATTCGTCGCCTTTAGTGCTTGATGGTTTGAATATTTCTTGAAACATATTATAATATCTGTGTAGCGTTTATACTGCCGGTCTACCTCCATTATACTCTGTATAAATCGAACAACGAGTTTTTTTATTTAAAATATATATTTTAACGTTTTTTAGTCGTTAAATCTGTAAGAATTGATTATACGCTAAAACTAAACTAAACGAAAAAAAAGGAAACAACATTTTTTTTGTGTTCACAAAATATGTTTATTATAACAAAAAGGCCGCAAATAAGAAGAAAAAAAACCGAAATTAAAATGTGTGAACAACTTAACAATTTTGAATTTTGAAATGACTTAAATTTAAAGAAAAAAAAATACGACAGACAGGATTGACACAATAAACAAAGGGGGGAGGATGCGAGATGGCGATTGGTGCAGAAATGCAGTGTTGCTGCCTGCTGGCCACTGGTCACCTCTGCACGTTCTCCGACCTGTCCCGCGGGTTGACGAGTGTTCCTGGCACGTTTGCTCGGACGCTTGACGACCTTGCCCAGCCGGCGAGGCCATACCGAGACGGCCACGGGAGCGACCACGGTTGACGGCGACGGACGGCGGCTAGTGCTCGATGTCGTGCGCGTACCGACGGTCGACGGAGTGACGATTCGGCGGACGGACGGCGAACACCAAGACACGGAGCGAGCGAAGTGAGATTCTGTGTTGCGGAACCGGTGGGGACGAGCGAAGCGGCCGACGTGGGATTACCGCGGGGCGAAAAGGCGAGAGCCAGCGGACCACATCCGTGATCCTCGACTCTCGGTAATTTTCGCCCTGGCGTCGTCCCTTCGGCCGCCGCGCGCCGCCAGACCCTGAAACAATTAAGTTTCTGCGAGTCCGGCGCCGCTGACGTCCCCGTGTTCCTAGCACGCAAATCTCCGTACCACTCACCGCGCGCCGAGGTCTCCGCCGCTGCCGTCGTACCGAGTCACCATCGCCGTCGTACCGAGTCGGTGTACCGTCGGGGCGGAATCGTTGCCCGGTACCTCTATACTAGCCGCCGTGCCGTCGCCGTCCACCGTCGCCGTCGCTCCGCGAGACCGTGACTGCGGTCGGGCGCTCGCCAAGCTGCCAGAGGGTCTCGCGCGTCATCGACGACCGAGCTCGCCACGCCAGCTAACCCGTCTCGCCGCTGGTGCAGGTCGAAGAACGTGCGCGGGCGACTTACCGCCGCGCACCGTCCGTGCTCTTTCCCGCATCCTCCCCTCCATTCCGTCGCCGTCATCTCCTGTCCGTCGTCTTCGCCCAGGGGGTCTTCTCCTGTGGCGGTCTCGATTTTTTCATCCGATACATCGTCTTCTGGACACAAAACTGAATCGTCCTCCACTTCCGCTTCAGAAACCTTCGAATTTCCGTCTTCTCTTACTGTGTCGTCGTCGTCGCCGAGCGGTGCTGTCTCTGGGATCGGACGGAGCTCCGACTCTGCAACAGACGACAGCGCGTCGCCGCTCGGCACTCCGCCACAGTGCGGGGAGACGGTCTCCTCGACGTCTTCAGCCAACTCCTCTCGGTCTGCGCCTCCGAGAGTCGAGCCTTCGGGCTCCGACTCCAGGGTCTGAACGTCGCTGTAGTGGCGACCGTAACAATGGCAGACAGAAGTGGAGTGACTACAAGAACGACAACGAGATATTCGTCGGTTTCATCGGCCAAAGCGAGTTCCATCTTGTTGACCAAAATCTTCCACCATTTCCAGTAATATTATGTTTTTGCGGCTCGGTCGATGTTGTTAAAGTTTGTTGCCATAATTTATTTTTTGAAAGAAGATAATATTTGCGTTTGGATTTAATCGAGAATGAGCTAAATACAAATCGTTCAACACATAGACCGATCTCCGAGAAAATTTCCCAGACGACGGCGTGTGTTACTAGCCAGCTAGTATTTTTATCTTTCTCGTCGGCCCGCAGCATTAGAATTTCAAGAGCGTTAATAATAACAATTTTATTTTATGTGCAAAACAATTCCCAACATATTGTAAATTATAAATACAGTAGTAAGTCTGCTCACCTCCTATAAGCAAAAGCTTGGGTGAGAGGCTCTTAAATTAGACATTCAATTTAAATACAAATAATAACAATAAAGTACAATTAAGTACAATATGAGATTTACTTAATACAAAATAGAGCGTTAATTTTTCTAAAGACTATCAGTGGCGCCGAACTCTATATTGAGGTCGGGCCTTGGCCCGACATCTTTTGAAAATTTAGTATGGGGCCGTTTTCAGAAACAAACAAAATCGTCTCTAATCCGTCTTAGTTGGTGGGGATTACAAAAAAGTGTGATTTAAATTTTCTTTTAAAACTGAACATCAATAATTTTTAGGTAAAAACTAATACCTCCTCGGTCCTCCACCCTTTCATGTACGCCATTGGGGCTGATATTTAAATATTGGGGCCGTTTCAAATATTTTTTGCCCGACTAAATTTTTAGGACTTCGGCGCCACTGATGTACAGTGTACACATTGATCTATGAGGAATAAAACCATTTGTTTACTTTACTTACATTCCAAATAATGTTCCTCCTAAGTGAGCTGCATGGTCGAACATTTGCCACTTCATAATCAATCCCATTATGTCTAGCGATATTATACCAAATAAAGCCTTAAATCAACATATGAATGTTATATTTCAATTTGGTAAGATAAGTGATTTTATAAATAAAGTTCAATTAAGCTATGCATGTTTAATATTTAATATTTGAATCAATATTTTTTTCATAAAATAATTATGCTACACAATATTTTGTGAATCTAATTAATTGTCAAGGATTTTTTTGATACAGTAAATAAAAAATCAATTCAAAATTGAGGGGGATCACGTAATGGTGGTGGGGGGGATGAAGTATTTTTCACTGACAATAATTCAAATCTATACAAAAATATTAAAACCAAAATAAATTATGGTCAAATGTAATTAAATATAATATGACTTACATGAATTGCATCAAATTGTATATTTGGTAAAAATATTATACCCAACTTTTGGTCAGGATTCGATAATGAAAAGTATCCAACAACCGATAATATAGCACCAGACTGGAAACACAATAAGACTATTAAAACTATTCTCATGTTCTTATTAGTTGTAAAATTAAGAGTATACATACAGCGCCTAAGCTATTTCCTTGAAACTTAAAGCTTCGTCTAAAAATAATACTAGCTAATGATGAAACAACACAACCACTTATATACATTGCACTGAATTCTTCCGGTCCCATATCACCCCATGGTTGGATCACACCTTGGTCATAAAATGTAAGGTTACAATAAATAAAATATTTGATATTTAACATTTACCTCGGCAAAATGTATGAAGAGCGTACATATTGAAACAAAAGTGTATTGGAGAACTGTGACTGAACGCACTCAGAAGAAGTGATGACACTGGAATTTTTCCTAAAATAAGTTTTGTAGACTTATAGTTAATGTATACTAAGTTATGTGAATCCGTCAACAAGCTTTAATCATAATTTAAATTAAATTGATTGCTTAAAATTGAATAAACTTACTAGCAAGTGCATCAGTCATAAAATATTTAATCATGATATGTTGCCATCTAGGTACTTGCCATGCAAGAAAAACAATGGCATTTAATAGAAGTATGGTACCAAATACTTTCTCTGATGGTTCTAATTTATTGAAATTATTTTTTAACTTGGAAATAACATTCTAGAAACAAATTAAAAAATAATATTATATACAGATACAATAAATGAATAAAATATATTATTAAAAAGTAGTTTTGTATTTATAAGTTTAAGGCATAAACTGCATGGTTATAAGCCTGTTTTTTCTGTGTGTGTCTGTGTGTGGGGGGGGGAGGAGTACGGTTGGTCGAAATATTCTATATGTGGCGATAAATTATGAGATCTGAGATATATTTAATATTTTAATATACAACAAATTTGAACTATAAATCATAAAACTAATTTGTAAATAAAAGTTATTAACTATTGTTTGAGCATAGAATAATTGTTTTGAGAGGACGTCGTACCAGTATGGGTTGTCTCCGTCTTACACACATACAACAGAAAATGTTCGTCACCAGTTTCAATACTGCACCGTTAGTTTTGATATTAGAGTGAATTGATTTTATACAATTTAAAGGTAAAATTATTATCTAAGGCCCCCACTTAAACTTTTACTGATATTATTATTTTTAAGTAAGTTATGACCTTTTTGAAACTCTAAATTTTAAGATGATCATACCTTATGTAAAAATATTAATATCAATAAAAGCTAAGTGGGGCTTTTATTAATCTTACCTTTAAATTTTATAATGGATAAATTCACTCTAATATCAAAACTATTGAAACTGGTGAGCGAAATTTGCTAAGTTGTACGCGAGTAAGACGTAGACAACACATGCAGGTACGACGTCTTCTTAACATAATATACCATTAATTTAACCCGTCATTGGTATCGTGGTAAGAGCGGCGCTTACCTTGTTAGTATTTTGAAAACCACTCGTTTACTTATTAATTGATTCATCTGATACTATTTATACTTTCAATCGACCCATATCTAAACATGCGTTTGTAAATATAATAATTTTATAAATATTTCTTGACATGCGATGCTATTAATATCCATAAAGTGAGAGTTGCATTCACTCAATAGATCGACATAATATTTTTTTGTAAATGTAGACCCATTTGTAAGGAGTACACAACATCCATATGCCTACTGTGTAATCATGGACATACTCACAGGGGGTAGGGTCATGGGGTTCAAACCCTCCCCCACATTGGCCTTATTTTTATGAACTCCATTAGCCCCCGTATATATGTTCCTAGAAATAACCTACCCCCTCCCCCAATTGAAAATTACTGAGAACGCTACTGTGTGTAATAAACAGCATAATATGTCAGACCACTAGGGCCAAGATGAATGATAATGATAATATTATATATTATATAATTTTATTATGTATAAAAAGTTATAAAATTAATTTTTATTGGTTTACAATTTATAATTAAGAAAAATTGTAAGAATATTTTTTGTAAAAGATTAAAATATAAAAAATTTGGTGTTGGTTTCAATATTTTATGTTTATTATATAATAAATAATGATGAAAAATCAAAGAGGCGATGCTCATTCAATACCAATGGCTGGACTTTGCATAGCGATACCAACGATGGGGTAAATAGTTAAAATAAATAGTAAAAATGTTCACCTCGTTTTTTCTGTAGATAGAATTTTTGTAAAATTCAAAAGCATTGATTTGTTTAACACTATCACGAAGTCGCTCATATTGAATAACTGATGCCAACATTACAGACCCAGTACAGACCTTAAAGAAGAAAATATTTAATTGGAAATAAAGTTTTAATAAATGTTTATATTAACTTATTACAGATATACAAAATAAGGAAGGTCCTAAAAGAGAATTGGATTGACTTTGAAATCTCTTTAAATTATGATTTGGCTGATTAAATGCTCTTCTTGCAAGGAGAGTATTAGCAGGCACAGATAATTTCCGTAGCTGAACAGTTGACTTTATGCTAAAAAAAAAAAAAAACAATATTAAATTCGGTAACATATAAAAGTTAATTTGTAGTATATCAGTAGAAACAAAAATAGCAAAATGCCATCAGTTAGGATACTGATATTACTTCTATTCTTTTTCTAAAGTAGTTTTACCTGCACAGTTTACTAAGAAGGCAAAAAAAATTCCTTTACAGGTCACTTCAAGTCAATTTAAATGATCAAATTTCGAAAGTTCCTATTTTATTTCAAAGATTTGGACTCCGATTTTAAAAACTCAAATTTCAGAAAATTTTTTGTAAATAAAAATTGTTGAGTATTTTGAATTGTATTTTTTTAGTGAATTTTATACAAAAATCGGAGAAAACGCAACAACATACATAGTTTTTTAATTAAATATAACAAAAAAATATGAACAAAATCCTATTTATCCTGTAAATTCATTTTTTATCGATGGAATGGATTTTTTCTTACGGCCTATTATAAAATGGATAACAATTTAGTTTATGTCATAATCTACTTAATAAATCCTGATTTTAATGTTCTACATAGCTTACATTTTGCTACATTTTGCTTACATTTTACATTTTGCTACATCTCTTCCTGTTGTGATTAGTTTTTGTTATAAGTGGACTTATATTATCTGTTTTTTGTTTACACTTAAAGCAATATAGTTTGTTCATTTATAGGGAAAAAAATTGATTGAATAGAATTAAATTGATAAATTAAAAATATAAATTACGTCGTTATTTTTTAAAATAGTCGTTAAAATATTACTTTTAAAATAGTCGTTAAAATATTACTCGGTACACCACTATCAGAGAGATAACCATGGGGGTATAACGGAATTGGAACTTGTTGCTGTTATGATAACAATATCCTGCGGGAAACGACTGTTTTTCGGCTTATAACAATGATAACGAGATTTCCGGTTCATAAAACGTGCCTGTTACATCACAAATCTAATACTATAAAATGAAGAACAGCTGACTGATAATATTGGGGTCCAATGGAAAGGAAAACGCCGGCTATAGCGAACCCTTGGCGTAAAAAATGAAGCACTGCTCCGTTTCCCCAGCCCGCCGGCCGTGTCCCGTCGATTCCTTATAGCGCGACCAATCGCGTACCTTCGCAGTGGCGGCGGTCGGTTTTAAAACGTTTTTCGTTATCACCTCTTTTCCTATCATTTCGCCGATTTTCGGAAAATTAGCTGTTTTTACACGATATCTTTTCGCCCTTTTATATACTTAATTCGAAGCCACCGGTGTGCGGTTTATATTCGTGCAATGTCGATCAATAAATACACTCCCGACCGGACTTTTTTGCCGATTTTTTCCTTTTCTCCCACCGTTTCGTCTATTCGCACCCGTTTGTGTCCGAATCGAGTCTTTTTGAAGCCGTTTATATGCGCTTTTCCCCCAAAATCGGTTCGTTCGCCTCGCAATCGCGTTTGGAAATTACGCCGGCGACCGACCAGCCGTACGCGTATATATACATGTATATTGTATATACGTGTATAATTTAATTTTTCCTTATGATTTAATAATTATTAACGGAAAACGCTTTTCACACGCCCCGTTAAATATATATATGGGAGATGTGCGTATTACAAGCGAATTATATGCGATTACATCGATGTACATCGAATATATCGGTTTACGTCGCTCCGTAGTCGCACGGCTTAATTGTTGATGTTTTCACTGTCTTTCATATCTCAAACTGTGTCCGAGTAGGTTAGGCGTTAGGCAGGAAACACGTAGGTCCCGGGTTCAAATCCGTCGTACGCCGTCCAGGCATTGAAACCGTTAATGCCATATGGTTTACACGGCCGCCCAAATCCCGTTTTTTTTTGCATTTTTTTTTCACGTTATTTTTCATATAAATTAAATAATAATATAATAATACAGGAACATATCGTACATTATTATCATTTTATATCACACAATAAATAGGTACATATTATATTTGTTTTATTAGGAATTATTAAAATTGCATATTTTTTAAAATTTCCATGATTGTTATATAAATATAGTTTGTATTTTATTTCGGTTTGCCTTGAAAGTTAATCTTGATTTTGACTTGAGAGTTGAGATGACTGACTTGCTAGACACTCCAACACGGTTTTTGACTTTACACTTTTTACATAAGAAAAGGCACCGGACATGCGAAGGCACATACCACTCTATGTGATATACCTACTATATATAGGTGATAGACGGGTTGCTCATTTTGGTTTCGTCTTAAACGGTGATGATTGACTTGATAGACACTTTAACAAATAACATGCAGGTTTTTGCAATTTTTTTTTAAATTAATATAGGTACATGTTTATATGTATTGGTTAATATAATAGTATGTATCTAACTACCTACCTATATGTTAATATTTTTTAGGAATTATAATTGCACATTTCTCAAAATGTTCATTGTTATATTATATCACACAATAAATACATATCATATTTGTTTGTATGTATATAGTTTGAATTTTTCGTAAATAATTTCGTAAGTTGTGTGATAGGGTTTTCACTTATAGCCGCTTGATGTCGTGTCTGCAATCCACCGCAGGTGGATTGCCTACCTGATTTGCTGTGGCACATAGTCCGCGATCCGACGAAGTCGGATTGCCTACCTAAGTGGCTAACTTGAAAGTTTATAGATTTTGACTTGAGATGACTGACTTGCTAGAAACTCCAACACGGTTTTCGACTTTACACTTTTTACATAAGATAAAGCACCGTTCATGCTACGGCACATACCACTCTATGTGCAGCTATACTCTATATAGGTGATCCTGGAGATCGTATCCAGCCTATCCATTTACAACGTTTGTGACGGATTGCTAGACACTCAAACTTTTAACATTCCCGCCAAAGCGTCTAGCCTTATCTCCAATCCATATCACTAATTCTTATCACAAATCCTAAACTTTCGTCTTACAACCTTTGCGACTTTTATAATTCATTGTCTCCAAAATCGGTACCCACTCTCAGCGATTCCAACGGGCCCCGAGTTATACTTAGAGCTAGTATTATAATAATTTACATTCGATTTAAAAATGTTCTCAATTGTAAATATTTCCTTTGACCAATTTGTCTTTAACTTATTTCTATAAACATCAATTATTGAAGATAATCTTACTCTATCATTTACTTCAAATTTCGGTTTGGAATTACAAATATCATGGTTATAAATTGTGGAAAGCAGTTCTTTCTCGTTTTTCTTACTTACATCAGCAGGTTTCATTTTTATTGTTCTATGGTATGTATTATTATATGTCTTAATAATCCTTGGCAATTCAGTAATCCATACATTATTTAAATAAAGTACTTTTTTCAACTTATCACCTAATGTTCTGTTAAAACGTTCAACCATAGATGCCTTTTTATCGGTGCCTGTACTATACATTGTAATGTTATATTAATTGTTTAGTAATTGTTTTAAATCTTTATTATAAAATTATTTACCTTTATCTACATGTAATTTTTTTGGTACACTATGTTTAAATATTTGTGAAAATGCTTCAGATACTTCCAATCCACTTTTTGTTTTCAAAGCTACAGAATAAACTTTTTTAGAAAATGTATCAATAACATTAAGAATATATTTGAAACCATTATTAGATTTATACAATGCCTTATGATTATCTTTAACTTTAACTTCATTATATTTATTTCTTAAATTATAATTAGGATCACTATCTTGTAATTTTTGATTCGATACAAACTTATCTCGCTAATACTATTACCTTCCCCTGCCGCGTATTTTCTCCCTATTACATAGTTATCTCGTGTTTTTATTTAAATCTAAATATTATATATTACAATAATATTATTGTTCAAACAACCTTATTTAACTGGCTAAAAGTAATACAAAATATATTAGTAACATGGAAACCTGCTTTTTGTTTATTTAAAGCCTCAACAAAAAAACAAAACAAAACAAAACCTGCTTTATTATAATATAAGTAAACGGATTATATTGATTGTTCAATATTATATTTCGCTCGTCACACATGGACGGAGATATAAGTCATTCGTGTATCATTCCCGTAAGTAATAAATTTCATAGACGTTTTCGAGTGAAAATAATAATAATTAATAACTATTCTTATGTTATAGATTGAAGAAAATGGTAATCCTTGTATCATTACAGTAAGTTTCATAGAAGTTTTCGAGTGAAAATAATAATAATTAATAACTATTCTTATGTTATAGATTGAAGAAGATACCTTTGTTCAAACAAAAATGTATCATAAAATAATGAATGTAGTATTAACCATAATATTGTTCGGCCTGTTGGTAATAATTATACTATTGTTAAGCCCTGACTTGAACTCCAAACGGATTCTGGTAAGTCACAACTGAAAATATATTTTGTACGTCTGTAAGACAACCTTCTAGGTCCGTAGATTGCACAAACATTTAAGGGTGTTTTAATTATTGTCGTATATGTACTTTTCAATCCATATACATCTACCTTTGATTAAGTAACAAAAAGACCTTGAATTAACCGGTTTTAGTTTTGTTATGTAGATAGATATTCTGCCATCCTAAGGAAGAATGCCGTAAGTTCTTTCATGCATTTCGAGAAAAATGAATTTTTATATTTAGTAGTTTTTGGTAGTTCTATTTGCATAAATACAATATTTTTCATAGTAAAATACATATATTTTTAAGGAAATATACTCATGAATGCAACGGAACTATTCTATTTTTTTTAAAATTTTTAATTCATCAAGATAATATGCTTGTTTTGATATTCATACTAAGTACGTACTTAACTATTTAGAATAGGTTACATGTCAAAAATGCCGGTAATTCTGGTTACGGCTTTTTTTCTGTAGCATATACCAAAATGAACTAATCACTAACAATTGAAGAAAAAACGCCGTATATTATCAATACTAATTTTTAGTTTTAATTTATAACACAACTTGAAAGTTATTACAAATATCTTTATCTTGAAATCAAAGTCATCTAGTCATTATTATCTATACTCTGTCCAGCGAAAGAACA